GATTAGATAGATTAATTAGATAGATAGATAGATAGATCGATAGATAAATAGATAGATAGATCGACCGATAAATAGATAGATAGATAGATAGATAGACAGACAGACAGATAGATAGATATTTAGATTGATAGATATATAGATAGACATATGTGTATATATATATATATAGATAGATAGATAGATAGATAAGATAAGATAAGATAAGATAGATAGATAGATAGATATATAGATAGATAGATATATAGATAGATGGATAGATAGATAGATAAATAGATAGATAGATAGATAAATAGATAGATAGATGGATGGATGGATGGATGGATAGATAGATAGATCGCTCGATATATAGATAATTATTAAATAAGTAGATAGGCAGATAGATAAATAGGTAGATAGATGGATCGGTAGATCCATAGCCAGATAGACAGATAGCAGGAAAGTAAGGTAGCCAGATAGCTAGATAATTCTAGATATCTAGAAGGGGTACATTTCTGGTTTACGAGGGTTTCTCACAATTCGGGGGATCGCCAAGTCACCAAACCTCCAAACATTCGGAGAAAAAAAACAGTCACAGGCTATCACAGGCTATCGCAGGCATAGCCCGAACACAGTACACTGACCAAACATATACGGTAGGTACCTCCAGTAAATCGCTCGAACGTTTTCTCCAATAGACCATTGATAGAATTACTAACCCTGGCTTATCAAATCTTTATGTGGATTCCACCATTTACAATTGGGTAGTGTTGGTGTTGGTAGAACAATAATAAACACTTCCAATTTCACCACAAATAGATGGCATAAACCATTCCCAACTGGGTGGTTCATTATTGTCTACCCACATTAATTATAAGCCTAGTTACTACCCACTTATGACAGCGGCCATGACACACGGCCAGGTTCGATGTTGACATCCTCCAGCCAGGAGAGACCCGACGAGGGCATCTTAGACAAAAAGACGTCAGTGGTGGGAGTTAGCACGGGTTTCCAAACAACAAAAAACACCAAAATGTGAGGGTTTTTTAAAGTAATCCAGTTATTATGGGTTTATGAACCATTATTATCACCAGTAATTCAGTTTGTTTAAGGCATTTTTTTTCTGGGTTTCTTCTCAGTTGGTTATGAAGCACCAAGCACTACAGGGTTGGCGGAAAATCATCGCCAATCTATGGCGAAATTGATGGCAGCTAGCCAGGTTGATGACCAGGGGGTATTCTTGATATATTTGGCGTATTTTCCATGGTATTTTCCAACAAACATGAGATAAGGATTGATGGATCTCCAATCAAGAATGATAATCACCTACCTTAGAGACTCTTGTCTTTTGTTATCTTAAACCAATGGGTAAACAGGTTGCGTTATAGTTGGGCAACTCATATAAAGTGGGTTACAGACTAATCAACCAGCCCCCACAAACTAATCATTGCAGGCTGTTATAATTCGGTAGTTACAGTTACACACAAACATGGGGGACGTTGACTAACAGAAATGGGCGGGAGTTAACGAAACAACATTTGGTTTTAGTAGCCAAACTACATCATGGAAATGATGGAAACCATTTGAGGAATCAATGGATACCCATAGCCACAGGCATCCCCCAATGCTTGGTGGCTCAGTAAGCTTTCAATATTTAAAGCCTAAGCCTTGTGGTGTCCCACATTGAGGGGCTGCATTGTGCAGAGTTGAAGTACCACGCATATTCAATGATAGATTTCAGCAAAAAACACCTGGATTCACTGGAAATCACCCTAAGCCTACTAAACTAGGGTTTCCCAAAGTATTCAATATGAGGACAGGTTTGTTTGGGGTTCCAAGATCAATTTCAGAATCGTAAAGCCCGTGCTTGGGGGTGCAGTTCCTCTAGATAGATTCTAGACGATTCTAGTTAGTGGCTATATCTCAGATTTCACCATAGGTTTAATTGCCTCCTACCTTAACTTATGATATCAAAATTCCATGGTTCTATACTCCTCCACCGTGAACCCCCTTCGTGCCACTGAGATACCTCTTCAACATGAAGAACACTCGCCACTATGACGAGGGCGGCCGTTCCCTCTCAGGCGGTTTGCTGGGAATCTCCGAAAAAATGTGGGGCCCCCAAACGATGGCTAAGTTTGCTTACAATTTCAAGAACTATGGGTTAAGATACCTATAACATCCTATAACTAGAGTTAATGGTGTGTATAAACCAACTTATAACTGGAGGGGCCCACATTGTATTCATTGTATACATTTTCATAGCGCTTATGATGTTTTGGGGAATTCTGGAGAAATAAATAGATTTAGATCCCAGCTGGCTTTTTCACATGGACCAATGGTCGTGGAGATTTGACCCAGTAACTCAAATGGAATGACATGGCTTATAGATGCTTATAGAACATTACAGAAGCAACAAAACTGCTTGGATCCTGGAGGATTGATGTTTAGTACATGGATGATCAAAAATTCCGTATAGCATGGGATAGATGCAGGCTTGATGTTGCCCAATGAAAAACCACGGAAGGGGGTTTCTTTGCCATCCTATAAATGCAGCTTTTGCCTAGCACACTAGGGAGATGTACGATGATTCTGGGGAACCAGATGCACTTGGATACTAGATGATACTAGGTGGATGGTGATCAGAAGTGCTGGTCATGTAATTGTAATTAGTCTGGCACCTGACAATTCTGACAATCCTCCATTTCTGGCAATGATTTTCTTATGTGTTCCTGTAATGGTCCCTGTGAAGACATAGGAAGTTCTCAGGTTGGATGAGACCAGAAAGCAAACCATGAACTGGCGCGAAAGAAGTGAGATCCAAGTGGGTCCCTGGAAGCTGAACCAATTCGCCACACCCGATGTGGCCTTGGCAATGTGGGATTCACCAAATGCCTCGAAATACCACAAATCCACCATAAGCCACCAAATATCATGAAAATCACCTCCCTGCGAAGCTAGTTCAACCAAGTTGCGTTACCTATCCACTTTGTAAAGTCACAACTGACTCCTGTCCTGCGAGGCCTGCTGCTGTACTTCTATCAGCGCGACGGCCGGACCTTTCGCTGCACCTTCCTCTACAGGCAAGGGAGCTGCCGAAGCCAACGTCTGCGACCGTGGAGTTTGGTTCATTTCGGTAGCTGAAATCATGCGTTTTTGGAACGCACATGGTGATTTAACCAACTTCCATGAGGATTCAACCAGCAAAACTGATGGTATAATTCGGTATAATCATGTATAATTCGAATACAATGGAACATTGTGGTTATAATATAATGTTCTAAGTATATAATCCGCATAAATTATGGTATGGGCTTACAGTATTCTTTTGATTGCCGAAATTCTAGAAATTTGCCCCTGAATTATGTATATATTTGGACCAGAAATCATGACTACTAATTCGTAAGTGGGGTTAATTAACGCTACCCAGCTAAATGGGACAGCCATGGACAGCCCAGTTTGGGGACTTTTGATCACCATGGTTACTAAGTGGGGATGATCCTCCAGCCAGGGGACTGGATCACCATAGCTGCCATAGCCAGTTGCGACTCATGCGACTGTTGGGTCCCGATCACCCAAGTCTGGTTCCGGGGTTCCGTTGAAATTTTCTTGGTCTCAAGTTGAAGCATGTTCCATCATGATCCATCCAATGCATTCATCGAAAAAGGTTGGCTTATAAGGGGCACGTTGTTCGTTTTCGGGTCCAACAAGAATCGGGGGATTATTTGCAGATCACCCAATGTATGAGCAAGTAGTTTTGTTTAGCGTATATATGCCTACGTATGACTTCCAAAAACAATATCAAATGTGTACAAGGTGGTGCCCCAGTTCGTTAGCTCAGCTGCTTTATTTATAAATAGATTTTACAACTAGGGTTTATGGCAATTACAACCATAGTTAGATGGGGTTCTCAACTACCAGTAACTTATAGCTGGAGGGCACACCATCTTGTGACGGATTGTTAAACTGCACTTCTTTTCCAGTGGGTCAATGCAATACTTGGCACTTCCAACTGGAAAGATGAGGATACGCGGGATATGACCATTCCATGTGCAGGGAGTTACATAAATACCATAGCCATCCATAGCCTGTGTAACGTGTATTGATATGTAATTATATTACCTTCTGGTAGTTTTGGCAGCTATTGAGAATCATGTTCAAGCGGTAAACCATTGAACTGCATGGTGAGGCGCGGGTAGATGGCTGTGGTGTTACGTGCGCTTTTAAGGATACAGGTGGTGCTTGTAGCATGATTTTGTTGGAAGAGCTAAAAAGCATTGTGTTCGTGGAACAGAGGTATAATCGGAAGCAGTTGTGGAAGTTGTACTCAGGGTTTAGGTTTAGGGGTCCCGAAAAAACAATGTTTGTCCGCACATGGTCGCCAAGACAAGGAAGCATAATGTAATATAAAGGCGTAACTTGACATTATTACATGTTATTACCACACCCCAGCCACCCCAGCCACCCTAACCACGCCCAAATCATAAATCCATTGGTTAATCACTGAATTAACATGGTTTAACAATGTTTAACATGGTCATTTTGGGCGCACTGATTTCAGACATACGTTGCGACCGCGCATCGTCATGCTTCAGGGTCACCTTCGCAACGCGCGACCTTTCGGCCTCAAAGTGGATTGGTGTTATCTTGATTGGTTTCAGCTTCTAATCAATTTTACTAGGTTTTACTAGGTTTTACAGTTTTACATTAATTATATTTTTTTAAATAATTATGTATACACGCATGTTATATGATGCAAGGTCCTGGGGCCGAAAAATAAAACCAGATCTCCTACTAAACAATCAGCAGTTGTCAATAATTGGTTCGGTCTTATCCAAACAGTTCGGATTGTTTTTTTGTTTAATCAACAATATATATATATAATATTCATCATTTATTGAGCAACATATATAATCGAGCAAACAAATATGGATGCTTCTTAAACCGCCAGTGGCATAGAAAGCCGCGCCAGCCCGTGCCTTGCCCCGGGCCTCCGCGCCTTGGGCGCGGTGAGTGCAACGGCTATGGCGGGCATGATGGGTGCCAGCTTGGGCACACCCAGTATGCCACGGCAGAACGTGCCGAGTGTTCGACAGAACGTGCCGAGTGTTCGACGCTGGGCGAGAGATTTATGTTGATGGTGTAAATTGTGAAATAGATTACATATTTGAACATGCAAAGGACCAGAGAATTCATGAGAATTCTGAGCAGAAATGTTCATGTCGTTGTCAGATATTTGTCAGCTATTTGTCATGTAAATTAGCGTTAACGGCTCAGTATTTGGTATTTTTTTAAGGAATGGAACAGATGACAGATTGGCGGCTTCACGGATTTGACCATGCCACCAGCGCTTGCGCTTTGCACTACCATCGAGAGATGATTTGCTTGTTTTGCCACTACCAGATTGTGCTTAACTTGCCTATATAATCCTATATATATATATGTATACCGTACACATATATATATACATAGTACTGTACACACATATATATATATATATTTGCATCATCTTCTTCCTACTGGCGAGGTTGGGATATATATGGCTATTATACTTTCAAGTGTATGTGTATGTGGCAAACAAATCAGCCAGTTGTCTGAATCCATTTGGATTTCCCATCCCAGGGCATCTGCCCATCGTTCGTTCCTGCCAGTTTCGGACTGACCAAATCCAAATCATTCACAAAATCTCATGCTGGGTCATCTTGTTTCCTATCGCAATCTGAGTTTTATATAGTTTTACCCGCTGGTAAACTAACATAACTATGGAAAATCACCATTTTTAATGGGAAAACTCACTATAAATGGCAATTTTCAATAGCTATGTTAAATTACCAGAGGGTAGTTTTATTGGTATATCATGGTAACATGGTATATCCCACTGTCAGACGCACAAAAATATCATCTCGTCGGAGATACATTCCCTGTATCCATCACTGGACATATTCCATTCATGGATAAAACCTCATGGCCATGATCATCCGTTGAAACCTGTGAATATACCCAATATATTATCCCTTAAGAAATACGGTCTTGGTTATTTTTCCAACGAAGATTGTCTGTATCATACCCATTTTGGCTACATATCCCACTAACCACATAAATATCCCACCTATTCTCCCAACTAACATCTCACTAAACCAACATATTTGACAATAGCCATGTTTGTTGCTGAAATCCAGATAGATGATTGTTATTGTAATTATCCCACATACATACCTACATACCGACCTACCTACCTACCTACCTCCCTGCCTACCTACTTACCTACATACCTGCCTACCTACCTACATACCTACCTACTACATACCTACTACATACCTACTACATACCTACTACATACCTACTACATACCTACTACATACCTACTACATACCTACTACATACCTACTACATACCTACTACATACCTACTACATACCTACATACATACTACATACCTACATACCTACATACATATCCCATGATATATTATTATTATTATGATTATATATATATATATCATTATATCCGTGTATATCCACCATATCTCCCTATGATTTGTTGCTTAATGCCCTCTACAAACCATCCCCGAAAAGCCCTGAAGTTCAGGAGTGGCTGAAGGCCCGGCGGACACGATGGCGGTGGATGTCATCGAAGAGGAGCCTGGAAATGTTTCTTGGAACAGAAAAAGACGGGGGCCAAGGGAGATCTGGGACCACCTAAGTGGTTACACATCTTAGTTCACCCATTGATACATGGGATAATCATGGATAATCCACGAAACGGGGACTTACAAACCAGGGGTAGTGGGCCCACTTACGATTCGTGGGGCGATCCTCCAAGATGGAACGGTTTCACGGAACGCCATGTAGGTCAGTAGACCAAAGTCATTCGGCGGCCGAAGCCCCTTGGGGCCTGGAGGCCCCAAGAGGCCCCAAGAGGCCTGCCATTGAAACCAACTGATCGGTGGTTTGGAACATGACTTTTATGACTTTCCATAAATTGGGAAGAATAATCCCAACTGGCCAAAGGGGTTCAAACCACCAACCAACCAATCTTTATATTTCCCGCAGTTTGTTTTGATGCTTCTTCGATTATTTTCGATGATTTGCTTAGAAATTGCTCTATCGATTGGTTGAGTTAGGGGGTTGATTTTGTTTGTTGATTAGGGATTATCATATAAATTCATGCTTCTTAATATTCCATCCTGCAATCCGGGATACTTATTAATCAACCAGTATTTCATGGAATGGGATAGGCTATGACAGGCTTATATTTTTCATGGCTCAACTGACATTGGGGATTTGACCCATGGGGACCTACGGGAACGTTTTTAATCAAACATGCCTGGGAAGTCCCCTCTATAAATGGGGGATTTTCAAGCCAGCCATGTTTGATGACACCGGAGAGTATACCGAATGCCTTTGGACTGTGTTTTTTTGGTTCTGGGTGGGTTCCATCATTTTTCACACGAAGCACAATTCTTGTACGCAGCAATTTTGAGATCATTAGATGGATATTTGTGAGATTTTATATAATTATTTCAGAGAACTTTGTGATGATTGTGTTGACAAAATTGGGCGTAAGCGAACGGGGAACGATGGATTTCTGAAACTGGAACCAACAGATGTCGACACATCCACAGGTTGGGATTGATGGGGTGTAATCCGGGGTAATTTAGTGATGATCGCTAGGTTCACACGGTGAGACCGGGTGAGATACGTTCATTGCATGGAATCAGTGGGAGATGTTGACATAGATCCCGGTCAACCGACTAAATTCTTGGTTTTGATAGTTTAAAGTGATTTATATGGCTACATCACCGCTTCATCACCTGGCTGAGAATCGCCAAACTTGCAGATACAGCAAAAGCGACTAGTGACTAGGAATATGACCAACTTCAATTTCTACTGTTCACTAAGATTCATCGGTCATCAGCAACCGAGACAACTTGGTGAGTTTTGGTGACTTCGACAAACTTTCCAGAGCTATTGTGATGGGCATTTGTATCCGCCATGAAGTGTGACACCATCACCATTTTCTTCAGTGGGATTAACTTTGGCCACTTTGATACATCTGTTGCATTCTGTTGCTACCAATTTTATGCCGTTGCCAGTCCAGGATTACATCAGTGAAAATGTAATGTTCGTAAAGCGATCATATACCATTGATTTTTTGATGGTTTATCCCATCCATTTATGGTCGGTGAATTTGGAGATGGTTTACTCTTCACTACCATGACCTCAGTATATGTCAGTATGTTTAGATATCCCAAGTGTTGGAGACTATTCTAAGCATCGGATGAATTTCCACATCTTCCATGTACCATCTACATCATCTACTCAGCTGGGGTGATGTAAAGCGGGGCATGGATGGTGGATGGTTTGGACGTGCACCGTGCGTCCCTCATCTATACAGGATGTTTACCCCCGATCATACGATTCCTGGTCCCAACCAGCGCATCCAAGTATTGTGGCTTTACATTCCAATTGAATTCATTAAAATTACAGCAAACCGATCCAATTTCTGAAAAGAGGTTCGTTTTCAACAAACTGATGAAATCTGCACTAACCTTCATGCGTACAATTCTACTAGTGAACCCCTCTCTCTACCGGTAATCAAACATGGCTGGGAAATCATCCAACCAAATGGGAGATTTACTATGGAATTTTCCAGCCATGTTTGACGAACTCAGGACCAGCAGGCTCAGCAACGTCAATCCCAAGCCACCTCTCGCTCGTCGCGTGCGAGTGACCTGGCAGAAAATCCACCCCAGTAGATCATTTCCGAACAGAAAGCCCATAGATTTCCGGATTTTCTTTTAGTCACTTTGAGGGTATAATGTATATCAATGTATAACTTACCCATAAGTTACCATCCAAATTATGACGTTTCTTTAAAGACTTGGTTTTACTTACCCAGCACGGTTTTTATAGTTTTCTTCCCATCGAAATAGTTTTTGTCCACAAGGGTTGCGACCTCACGCATCGAAATTAGTGAGATTTCCCGAGCAACAAGTGATATTTGTCGAAAGGGATAGTTGATCTTGTGATTTTTGTTAAATGTGGTTCCCCCCAAAAGAAATATATTACCATATTTGATGATTTGGGTCCTTAAAAGTGGGAGTCTTCAACTTTCACCCGCAAGAATCTGGCGAGTCTTGAACTTGCTTTAATTCAATGTATTTTTCCACGGAACCAATCTATTTTGGAGTGGTTCAAGCCACAAAGGCATAGATTTTCACGACAGCGTCCGAAGCAGAGGTGAAACTAGTTTGGTCCAACTGACGGTGATGGCAGCTTCATTTCAGACCTCATTTCGTAGTTCATACATGTTCACACTCTGGTAATCTAAGATAGCTATTGCAAATGACCATTTTCGGTATTTTTTTCAAGAAATGGGATGAACTTGGTAATTTTGGCTATGTCAAATGATCAGAGGGTACCAGCACCAAGACCAACACTTGAAACCATGAACATTTGAAAGGTTGGTCCAAGGTTTTTGGATGCTTTTGGTGGGAATGGAACAGACGTGACAACACTGGTTGCCCTCCAATTGAATATTATATGAATTTATATGAATATTAAGAAACAAACATATGGTAGACCCACCATGTGTAGATCACTGCTTAATGGAAACATAGGTTTTACTGCAAGCGGCACTGTGGCACTCCGTTATAAGTTGGTTCACAAACCCAGTTTGCGATAGTTATATAGTTATATAATGTTATATATATCCAACATAAATATGTATATATATATATAGTTATATAGTTATAGACATAGGTATATATATAATATATATACATAGTTATATATATATATACTGTATCCACCATAAACCATAGACAACCTGGTCATGGCTATGACTACAACTGATCCAACCAATGGCGCCACCGGTCCAGTTCTATCGACTCAGGTGGCAACAGAAGGAGCGGCAGCATGACAGGGGCTTCGGACGATAACCGGTGATCCAGTTGGAGATAGATGAGATAGATATGACTCAGATTGATCTGCTGGGGAATAGATCGGATATCATGGAGGCTAAACCCTTGTGGTTTTGAACTGTTGACCAAAGAAACACAGCATTCTCACTGGTTTTGTTGGATGAAAACATACGAAAACCCAACGCATTTCTAGCGTGGAGATCGAGTATCATCCCACATTTATGACCCGGAATACCAGTTATAAGTCATTGAAATAACCTCATAAAAGGGAATTTTCTAACCTCATTAACCATGTATAATAACCATTTTAATTGGTATTTCGGGCCTCATCATCCCAGTTGCTTAAGAAACATGGTGAAAATGTCTAATGCTGAGGATTCCGGGCGATCCTGGTAGGCTTCGACTTCATAAATGATTGGAAGTGACACGTCACCCTAATATTTTATAAATTACTTATATATGTGTTTATTATATATATACATTACATATTCTATATTATATGATATTATGTATATCACATATTTTAGTTAACTATATAATATAATTGTATTTTTTTTATATCTTGTATGATATTATATCAATTGCCGCCCTAGAATTAGAAGCCCTGGTTGAGTATTGGATCTGTTGTGGAAACCATCTGTGGGATGTTTTTCATGTTAGGGGGATGCGATCAGAACGAGGAACCATCCCGGGGATTCCGCATTTTCATGTTTCCGAGAAGTTTGGTGATAGCCCAAATCGTTGTTTTTTCTCGGCACCAAATATAGCGGACCATCTGATTTTCTGCTGAGATAGGTGGCGCTATTTTTTTTTGCTGAGTTTTGCCAGTTGTCAATGGATGTCACCCCAGAAATAGGGGACTTCCAATACCGCTGCATAGCTACTAGATCATATTCATGAATATTCTATACCCATAGGATCCATGTATGCTATATATGGTAACATTTACCATCAATATATCCCCAATGTTAGCATATATACCATACATGGATCCTATGGGATAGACCTCAGTTAAGTACTTTCACCAGGGTCCACTGAGGCTTCTTCGATACTCTTGGGGGACCAAAAATCCGTTTTTGCATCCCCATCCCTCAACAAAGGTGGCCTGTCAGGTCACCAAGTCCAAAATCCTTGATATCAAATCACCTTGGCTATTCCGTAATATGTATATATATATACTGTATGTATATATATATACTGTATGTATATATATATATATACTGTATGTATATATATATATGGTATGTATATGGTATATGTATGTGTATATATATATATATACATCATTATATATAGAGGTAACTGGAAGAGGGGCGTAGTACCTATATGTAGCTTGACCATGGCACCGGCGACTCCGGAGGAGTGAGGCCTCAGGGAGGAGAAGTGACGCGTCGCGACAAACCAGGCCATATTTTTTGAAGGGGGAATCAATGGGATATATATGGGATAATCATGGGATTACCATGGGATTATCATGGGATTATCATGGGATTATAATGGATTATAATGGAATTATGAATAAGCCCACGCTTATTTTATGATGGATATTCATGATTATAAAAAAATCATGGGATTATGATGGATTATATGGGATACCCTCTGGTAAGCTAACATAGCTATGGAAAAATAGCACTTTTAATGGATACATCAACTATAAATGGCAATGTTCAATAGCTACGTTAAATTACCAGAGGGTAAGTTTGAGCGATAGACATGTGGATTTCAGCATCATACATATATATATATATACATATTTATAATTATATAGTTTATACATAGTATTAATACATTACAGCAATTCAAAACATGGGATTTAGCAACCATTCTGGGATATTTCATCATGGGGTTTGTCGAAGAACCTGGAGTATACCAAACAGCGCACTGTTTTTGGGGCAACTCGACTGGATGGGTAATTCTGAAGTATCTCAAGTTGGGTTAATCAACAAAAACATATAGAAATCACCACCAGAAATATTGGGAAATCAACTGCTGCTGATGAGTTTCATAGTCAATAGTCTAAGAATTGTCCCAAATATCATAAGGTTATCTCAGGTTTTGCGACAGGAGGATCTGTCTTGACGTGATAGGAAGTTGATTTACCACCAAGAATCACGTCAGAAGAGAATTGGAGAATCTCCACCAGAAATGGAATATTACAGTGGATATTAAAGTCAAGTAATCCGGAGAATTACAGTGATTTGCGGCACATCATACCCGAAACTGGCTCAGCCTGGCATTGCTTCAGCTTGGGGTGAGCTGATGTCAAAGCCAAGGCTTAAGTGACAAGTGCTAAAGAGTCAAGAGGTGTTGCATATTTTCTGGGCAAATTATAGCGACCTCACTGTTCTCATGGACCCTGGAATATATATATATATATATTTTTTAATCATCCCATAATGGCCCAACATTTCAGGTTAGTGAATTAATACAATTTGCCCAGATATTTGTACCGAGCTTAACTACAGGATTCACAGGAATTAATCGACAATCTAAAGATGACACACAGTGTGAAACTAAAATAATCTAAACGACAAATCTGTCACAGGCTATCACAGACTATCACAGGCTATCAAAGATGTTACATGATACAGTAATCGACTTAATTTTATCGTCGACATGTCCAAAAGGATGAAGGTACACCTTCGTCCAAGAATCAGTCCACCAACCATATACGGATTGTCCCGTCCGGTTGGAAACGAATCGTTGTGTTTTTGTTTCAGCCGACCGAGCAAACAGTTGAAACAATACTGGTTAAATACTGATATGATCTGATATGTATATATATATATATAAGCAATGCACATTTCTGCTATTTAGATCTATGAAATCCCCATTTCTGCTATATATCGATTCGACGCGACGCAGCTTTGCTGGTGACATCTCAGGATTTTGGATCATTTTTTGAAAGTCCCAAACTTCTTGTTGCTGATGATTCAAAAAAATCATCATTTACCCTCTGATTATTTAACATAGCTATGGAAAGTAGCCCATTTATAGATGATTTATGATGATTTACCTATTAAACATGGATGGTGATTTCCCAGTTAGCTACCTTAAATAACCAGAGGGTAACATAATCCGATCATCGTTTCTGTGGTGCGTATGTTTCACCTTCGATATATGGGATGGTGATTCAAATTGACCGCTTGCGTAAAACAATCAATATGCAACAATACCCCCATGTTGCTGGTTATATCCCCCCTATATCCCCACAATATCTCCATGATACTTGTTTTGTGAAAAACCTTCAATTATCCCAAGTATTGCTTATATGCCCATTCTATCCCCATAACATCCCCAGCAAAAATCCTCACACAAAAAACCCATTCATCATCTCCATCATAGTCCCATGGGCCTATCCAGCTATTGTATCCCCATCATTAGATCCCCATCACCACAAGTGGATGGTGTATTATTTGTGTTTGCCATTCTTCATCCCATAAATTCCCATTAGCATCCCATGAAATCCCATTAAAATCTCCATTAAATGCATCACATCGCAAATCTATGGTTTATTGGTTTACCACATTCCCCATCAAATTCCCACAAAATCCCCATAAATATTTAGACAAATCCCAATTTCAAACTCCTTATATAAACCGCCCTAATTATATCACTATAAAATCACTAAACAAATCAACAAAATCCCCGTAAAATCACTAAACAATCCGTACGTATTTCAAACTCCTGATATGGAGGTTTCCCCACAAATGGGGGTACCCCTAAATCATCCATTTTGGAGGTCCCCCATTTGTGGAAACCCCCTTCGCAGGCCCTCGCAAACTCCCTCCGCAGCGGGTTCGCACACCTCGCGCACCTCGCGCGGGAGCGCCATGTCAACAGGCAGCGAAAAAGAAAAACGTGGGGTCCCAATTTACCAATACATATATATATATACACATTTTATTTCATATCTATATTATGATATTATTATTTATAATACCTAATGCTGATATACACACATATATATATATACACATTGTAATGTACCCTATAATATGTTATATATACACATTAAATTTTATATACCTGATCATGACTACTCAGAAACCCATAGCACCCTAATAGTGAACTGGCTGGTGAAATTCGTTGTACGCATCCCAAAGTCAAGACACATGAATGACATAAAACACAAGAAATAAGAAAGACACTAAGAAAGAACAATGACAAGAACAAGTAAAAACAACTACAAAGAAGGACAACGAAAGGCAAAGGAAAAGAGACAGGAAGAGGACAAGGACAATAAAACGTGCTAATGAAAAGACAAAGAACAAGGAAAAGGACAACACAACAGAAGAAGTAAAAGGACAAGAAAAAAAGGAAAAAAGACAGGAACATGGCAAAAAAACTTGTAGGTTTTGCCTCAAATGAAGTATCTGAAATCATTTTTTGTAAAGGGCAGCGGGAATTCCCCCAAGATTCATTTGATCTAAGAACATCTAAGAACAACAGACCTTTGTCCGTCGCCCAAAAAGAACATCCTGCACATCCTCCCGAAACTTGCTTACGACAGATGTGCTGTAAAAATCATTAAAAATCTCTCATTTTACTGGATTCCATAGCCATTGCTCTAGCCGTTGCTGGCGAGAACATGTTCCAACAAAAAATGATGGTAGTTCGCCTAGGAATAATCATCCCATACCTATGAATGCCAGAAATGGGTTGTACCTCACCATCACCCATTGGATCATAGGGAGTCAACCAGCCCCCAAGGTGTTCCCTCAACAGTACTTCATAACCCCTGAAATTAGTTGTTCTTGGTGGTAAATAAAGTCATTCTTGGGGATTGGTTATGTTATTAAATCATTTAAAACCCTATATTTATATGCCCCTATCCAGCATTGGTACGAGGTGGCCGACCCCCCTTACTTAGCTAAGTTGGTTTGTAACTGGGTTAACTAGATTTATGGTGATTTGTTTAGGATAGTTGGGGTTAAGATCCAGCAAACACACCATTCTAGGCGGTCTTCCCTTTTTTTCCATATTTTTTCATATGTTCCCATCTTTCTTCCCATATTTTCCCATGGAATTTTCGTATCGTCAGAGCGCTCTGGTACAGGCTCCAACTTTTCGGGAATGGGTGCATCGGCCAATATGGAACCTGCCAACATTTCACAGGCTGAACCGAGCAGTTCCACGTTGGCATCGTGCATCGCACATCCTTAATCTTGCAATGACCCTTAAGGTGGAAAGGTTGGAAACTTGTAATGACGGGGAACACATCATCGAACTAACTACCATCCTGGAAATATATATATATATATTTCGGCATCTTTTTGGTGCTTGCTGAACATGTCCATCTACGTAGACAAACACAGTTTTTTCACAGTCTGAAAACATGTATGTCCATTTGGAAACATTGTTATTGCGTGTCCATCTTTGATTACCAGTGGATTTTTCAACCAGGCTTCGCCGGGTTCGCCATGTCCCAGTGCAGACAGACATCAAATGACCCCCCGCAGCAAGGGTTTTCGACATATCTACAAGTCGGTTCCCATCTGCCAGTTGGCCGATCATTGCGATGAACTTTCATTGGTTTTTGTCCGCTTAAAACATGGACGGATTCATGTGAGTTATTCTAAGTTATCAGGTGATTTTTTCCAACAGATCTATGAAAAATACATCCCAGTCTCAACTTGGGAAACCCCTGAGTTTTATGTGGCCGCATCCTCGGAATTTCCACATTTTGCGATGATGAGTCAGCTTCTCACCAGCAGTTTCAGCTATAGATTAAGACATTATATACACATTCTATACACATTAAAACACATTAAAACCACAGTTGTGTTGTTGTTTAAGTGAACACCCACGGTTTTGCCGCTGGTAAAGCCTAGCTGTGTTTGCTGGTTGCATCCCACCAAATGTGTTGGTTTTATTGCAATGTTGTTCGCTGGTTGAATCATTGGTTAAGTGAACAAAGCCTAATCTTGTTTTCTCCACTGCCGGGGTTTTTAAAGAACCTCATGACATCCAATCCATAAAGGAATGGACACCTAAGGTTAGTGAATTCTTATACTTCGATTATTGCTGGTCAACTAATTATTCCGACTCGGCAAACCAGATTCAATGATAATTTCAGTCAGATTCATCGTATAATTTAATGATGGACCCATAATTTATTCTACAACTATAGATGATTATAGATTATATTATAATTTTATTATATATAATATCATATAATATATAGAACTTACAATACTACAGCTGGATTGTGACCTATTAATACATAACTTATAGACATTACTCCCAATCCAGCTGTCATTTTTTCACTTCAGCCAGGCCTGGAACCTGCCAGAGGACGAGATTAATCCCCGGGATTTGAGGCGCAGTTTCTTTCTTGTGGCGAAGCCGTTGACTGAAGCGTTGTGGATGTGTTGTTTGCTTTTTTAAATAGCACTGTTTGAGGAAAAGTGAGGAAAAGGTTCTTTTTATATCATATATATATATGTATATATATATATGTATATATATAATATACATATGTATATATGATATACATATCGCTGACATAACAATTTGCATGTTGATGTTTATTTTTTTGAACGTGTCACGATAGAGTGTATTTTGTTTGGGACACCGAAGTCTGGCTGCTTTGCGGGAATAAACATTGGTTGTATTGTAACCAACTAGAATGATCGAATCATTAATAAATGATGAACCAACTTTTGTGCATGGTTGGTCAAATTGTTGTGTATATATATATACATATATATATATATATGAATAGCCTGGATTTGATTTGTGAATCACTTTGCTAGAGGACAGTATGGCATATTCCTGACAAAGAAACACCTATGATCCGCCTCCTTCACAGTGCCAAGCCCGGCTGACTATTAGCGCTGCCCTTGTCGTTTCCACGTTAGCCAAGTAATTAGGGGGGCCACCTTGTAGCATTGGCGGAATGATACCAGAAGACCTTAGAATTGTCTGAAGAGTCTTGGGCCCTGGATGTTCAATTTCTGTTATTTTTCCCTAAATCTGGATCTGTATAACCCAGTCAGGATTTGGTTTTGACCTTAACTGTAACCCATGTTATATATATATATATTCATTCTATATACATGTGGCCTACAGCTAGGGATCAGTACCCAAGTGGTTCAGAATCTGGTTATTAGCCACTTCCAAACTGGCATGCATCACTAAGTAGGTCCCATTCGTTTGAAAAATCATCTTGCCGCAGACGGTCCCATCTGCAGATGCCAATCATGAATCCTCTGGGAAACGTTTACATAACTATTGAACATCGCCACTTTTAATAGGTAAATCAATGTAAATCAACTATAACTGGGCCATGTTTCATAGCTCTGTTAAATTACCAGAGGGTAATCCTCTTTCAAGAGTGTTTGGAGTAGGTTTTGAGGAGCCAAGTCACTTTCTTAGACCAAATTGGATCAAGCGGTGTGGTATCATTCTAGTCGCTGCTATTTTGGATACTCCGTAAACATCCTTGCGGGTGGTTTACAGGATGGTATTTTGACCAGTGAAAGTCACAACCCCTTGCGCCTGTCAGCGAAATTGCCTTTTGAAAGGCTCAACAAATTATTCTAAATCATGTTGCTTTTTTGGGAAAAACAACGTTTTACCACAGTCTTGGAACCCTTTGTCGGTCAACTTCACTTTTTACCCTCACATGTTCATTTGTTTTCGAAGTTGCTTGGCAGTAGCTCTCAGCACACAGTCTACATTGGCCATGAGATCTTTGCTGATCTGGCCTTTCTTTCTAGTCTGAATGCTCGGTGGAATCTTATCTTTGATTTTCTTCCACGTGCAATCGATGCCACCGGTGTGCACCCGCAAGGCTGCCTTTGGGCCACATCTTCTCTTATAACGTACCAAGTGCAAGAGAAGATCTTGGTAACGTAGCATCAAGTGTGTGTTGTAGTGCAAGAAAGGATCTTAGAACGTAGCAAATGCAAGAGAAGATCTTCTTAAGGTAGCATCAAATTACTTAGCAAGTGCAAGGGAACATCTTGCCAACATAGCATCAAGATCATCAAGATAGTTAGCAGGTGCAAGAAAAGGTCTTGCTAACGTAGCATCAAGTGTGTGTTAGAGTGCAGTACAGGATCTTATAACGTAGCAAGTGCAAGAAAAGAACCCCCCCACACCCCACCCAACCCCCTTGTTGTATGCAAGTGCAAGAGAAGATCTCAGCAACGTAGCATCAAGATGGTGTGCATGTGAACATGAACGTTAATAGCCCACCCCACCTCCCCAACCCCCACCCCCCAACCCCCCATGTCCGGTTTTCCACCAGCATAAACATCATGTATGAGCACCCCCGGAGTTGATGCTTGGTTACCAGGTTACCATTCTCGCATCCTGATATTGCCAGACAGACCCACTTGTTCGGGTCGCCTTGGAACAGGAAGCTGAAGAAGATCCTCGCGATGTGCTGCTTAGCGACTGGACTTGAAATCGCAAAGATTCAGAAAGGCACTATGTTTCTGTTGATCGAAACTGGACATTTTGGATTGTGTATGATTTGTTTCACCCAGAAAGATTTTTTTTTAAAATATTTTTAAATGTATACTGTATCTCGATATTTGTATATAAGTGGATTGTTAAACAATGGTTACAATTTTTACCCACAAGAAAGTTTTTTTTTTACAGTATATTTACAGTATATACAATATTATACTATATTATATAATCCCACAACAAAAGAGGGTTTGTGTACCTACAAGAGTTGGATTTCATGAACAAGAGTCGGACTTTGACCTTTGTTCGCCTGTTCTAAAACCGGCACTGCTTATCTGTATATCTCACTAAGAATATCTACTGTAAGAACAATTTGAAATGTGTAAGTTACCCTCTGGTAAATTAACATAGACCCTGAAAATAGTCTAGTTTTAATGGAAACTCATCTTCCAACCCCTATTTGACATGTGTTAATCGTTTTATTTGTTGTCTGTTGGTGAAAAGCTCAAAAAACAGGTGAATCTGTTGAGTCCTTGTCCTTATGGGACATGGTTAATCTGAGTTTCTTACCTGGATGGGTAGAAACTCATCCTGAATACTCAGCTGGATGGTATAGGATTACCCTCTGGTAATGACTAACATAGCTATGGAAAATGGCCATTTATAGTGGATTTTCCCATTAAAAATGGTGGTTTTCCATAGTTATGTTAGTTTACCAGAGGGTATCTACGTTCACCAGCTAAGAATTTTCTATTTTTTGCAGGGTGTCTGGCTGATTGGCCATGGAAGTACAACATGAAAATCGGAACTCGACTGATGGTACCAATAAATTCACAGTCGGGGCCCGGGGCGCCTATCAATCAATGCCACGTGGTTTACGACGTTGTTTGGGCATCAGATGATCCACCTGGCAACTGCGATAGCTCCGATAGCTGCTTAGCAAGTTACCCTCTGGTAATTTAACATAGCTATGGAAAATCACCATTTTTAATGGGAAAATCCACTATAAATGGACATGTTCAATAGCTACGTTAAATTACCAGAGGGTAGTTGATTTATCTATGTTTATCTGTTTTTATCTTGGTTGCAGATTATAAACATCAAAGAAAGGGTGCATCCCATCACGTTTACTCTCCGCCCAGGATTTGGAATGAACCCAGCAATACCTTCCCCATGTTTTGGGTTGTACTGGATACTTTGTAACCCCTTTGGGGACAGCAGCTTGTAAGCTCCAAGAATTTCATACAATGATTAATTGGGTGCATGGATTGGACATCATTTTTCACCAGGATCCTGATAGTTTTGGACAATGCATTCTGATCTGAAGGAATTTCCTGGTTGAATGTACAATTGTTGTCGAATGTTCCTGGTTGAATGCTATCATCAAAAATAGATCTGCTGACGAAGTTGGCTTGGTATGTTGATAGACGACCATTTGCTCCTTTTATTTTTCCATGCATCACATGCATCACATTACAGTACACTACACTACACTACAGTCCATTGCATTGCATTACATATGGGTATGGATCAATACCTATACATACCATTTTTAGGGGATGAACATCCATTTACAAGCTATTTTGATGTTCTCCAGGGGGATAGGGTTTTGACACACTGCCATATCATTACATACACTACACAATTGGAAGCCACTTGACCGACTCATCTGTGTCAAAACTCTGCTTTTTTTGGTGGGCACAATGATGCACAATGTTTCCATATTTACCCTCTGGTAATGACTAACATAGCCATGGAAAATAGCCCATTTATAGATGGTTTACCTGTCAAAAATGGTGATCTTCCATGGCTATGTTAAATAACCAGATGGCATATTGATTTCCCAGGAAATCCCAGCACTTCCTCCATGTTTCACAAAAGAATCAGCAGTTTTCTGTGGAACAGCACACAGCTCAGGGCACGATGGTGAGCTTTGCCATAGGGGCTTCTGGAGTGGGTGACCGGGCATCTCTATAGGGTGGGAAAGCATTCCTGGACGATGGTGATGTCGATTTTGGATTAGCCAGGTGATTTTTTTTTTGGTGAATGTTCTCATAGTGAGTGAAAACCCATTAGATTTCATAAATGGGACTTGAAGCTGGGTGCACATGAAAAAGTAGGATTTGAAGGGAAACAAATACCAAAAAGAATTGGATAATATTGGATACGTTTCCCCACAAAAAAAAAGAGTTTGATGAACTCAGATGGCAACCACTGAAATCAGCCTATAGTTTTTTGATAAAAGGTTTGCAACAAAAAATGGACACATATCATATCACATGATAGATATAATGTGATATATATATATATTATATATATATATATGTATACATATATATATATATATATATACATATATATATATACATACATGTGTATATATATATATATATTAGCCAATAAAAAGAAACATGTGTTCTTGGATGATTTTCTCTGAGCGGTGATGCTGCGGAATATTCACTGGGCTATGCTCCCAAATCCTCAGTTGAATCAGTCAAGAACTCCCCAGAGGCCGCCATCTCATCATTGTAGGGACGATGATTGACCAGTGAATGTGTTTCTTCCCCATCATTTTCAGACAAAGCCATGAACGTTATTATATAATTCTCTTCAAAGTTCACTATCTCTAGATTTTGGTTCACAAACCTATGATATAATGATGTATATACAATAACTGGTTGGTGGTTTGGAACATTTGTTATTTTTCCATATATTGGGAATGTCATAATCCCAACTGACTTTCATATTTTTCAGAGGGGTAGGTCAACCACCAACCAGATAATCTATAGTAATATATGATGTTTGACATGGAAAAAAACTACTCGTATCATCCATGGGCTTCTTGAGTCATAGGGCATCCCCCGTCGTCGTTCCTTCGCTGCAAGGCTTTGACACCCCAATGCCACTTGGCGCGTTGAGGGATTGCATGGCTATGCTTCAAATATATACCCTCTGGTAATGACTAACATAGCTATTGAAAATGGCCATTTAGTTCGTCGATTTTCCCATTAAAAATGGGTGATGATCCATAGTTATGTTAGTTTTCAAATATATACCCACAAAATTGCCATGGTTTTGCGTTTCACGTTTCCACATTGAATGCAATTGGTTAAACCAGCATTTGAAGCCGTTTGAAAGAAATGTGTCCAATGGGAAAACGCATCATTTTTTTTCGTGGTGGAATTTCGTGCACACCAGGATTTCGAGGGTTTAACAGATGGAAGCTGGATTTTTGAACAACAAATGCATTCATCAGAATATGCAGAGATAAACAACAGAAATGGGGATAAGAGTGAAATGCATCATGCTATATGGGAGTGGGTTGGGTCAGAAGTACTGTAGACCCAGGCAACCAGTTTACGGATTGTAAGCTTCACAACCGGAGATTTATCAAGGGAGATAGGGCAGGATCGGATCGCTAGTGTAGATGTATCAACATTTGCAACTCTTATCGGATCACCTTGACTATTCGATTGCTCTAATTGATTCTAATAGCCAAAGGATTTCAGGTTGGTTGTATCCATCATATCATCGGAATTGCCAAATGTTTGGTCCCACTGCAACTGCTGTTTTCTGTCCTTCTCCAATTTTTGCCACCCCTTGAAAGCCTGGAAAGCTCGAAGGGCCATGCCATGACCAAGGAGAGAAGCGTTGCTGGCAGGTGGCTTCGCAATCGTTCCCATGCTCATTTGGTTGCCTGGATCCTCAGTGATGCCTTCCTGGGAGATGAAAAATGACGAAAGGGAATGTAAAAAAACTCTACTGTGGATATCTATGGTATATACTGTATATAGAACATATAGACATATCATGAATAGATCTAGATGTATATATCTATCTATCTAGCTGTCTGTCTGTTTGTTTGCTTGTTTGTCTGTCTGTTTGTCTATCTATGTACAGTAATCTAATCTAAGCTTAACTAATCTTATCTTATGTACTTATCTAATCTATCTACTCCATCCAATATATATATATATATAATCCATCCATTTTATATAATCCACAATCCGTCTAATCCATCTAATCTATCTAATCTATCCAATCCATCCAATGTAATTTGTACTAAAATTATACTAAAATTGTATTATATACACACACACACACACGTATATTAGTGTATATATATATATATCAGAATGTTAATAGATCTATATAGAATAGCATCTATATATCAGAAAAAAAATATAGGAAATTATCAAACAGATCTGTAAAAGCACATCTATATCTACTTATTGGTGCTAAACGTAGGGACTGGGGTGTCATTCCCAGGTCCTTCTGTCGCTGTTTGCCGTTCCTGGCCCCCCGTCCTCGACCCGCGGAATATCGGATCTGGGCTCGTGCTGCTTGGATGCCATGTCGCCTTGGAGAATTGGGTGTTCACCAGCAAAAATGGGAGAAAACTCACTAGTTAACTGATAAAAAATGCAGTTATTGATGATACTAATGGTATTAATTATGAATTATGAATTATTATGAATTATTATGATATAAATGGCTATATAGAATGATGTGAAAATATAGTTAGTGGGGAATATAACTACAGTTGATGGAGATATAGCTACTAGGTCAATCAAGTGGATGGGTAGAAACTAGTCCTTTAGTCTTTTGCTATGGGATTATCTATGTTCACCAGCCACCAGCTAAGCATTTTCTATTTTGCAGGGTATCTAAGATGGTCCATGAAAATGGGAGAAAACCCGGGAAAAACGGGATAGCATGCAGCAAAAATTGGATGAACATGGATGAACTATGACAAATTGGACGATAAACTTGGTGTGTCAGCACGACATATCCAAGTTGGTTGAACCAAGTAGGCCCTAGGCGAACGCTTGGAGTAGGATCACACGGGATGACATGGGTTTAAGTGTGAACATACTGGGGAAACACTGGGAAAAGCCTGGGAAAAGCTGTGTTTTTCCTGCGGGAGAAATATACCATTTCCTTCCATCAGATTGCTGGAGGATGTGGCATCACTCATAGGCATCATGGTCCTTGGTTACCAGGCCATTAAAAGCGACAAAAGTCACTCCCCAGGTTTATGTCACTAAACATCACTAAACTGTTAGTAAATCTCCTGAAGTACTTTGAACTTTGAACTTTTCATAGCTCTCCTGGTCTCCTGCAAAGTGTGACCTGTTGCATAAGAGTATTAAATAGTACTAAAGCATATGAATGCATATTGTTTTGGGGCTTCGCTTTGACCAACGATAGGGTACCCCTAGATTCGGAACTGTCAAACCTCGTCGAGGGCCCACAGAATTAGTTTTGTACTAAAACATCCATTTCTAGATATCAGAATCCAGTGCTTGTCACCATATTCCCGGTGAAATTGAATAATGAAATGGGCATCTTCAGGTATACCTTGACCGTTACCCCTTGATCCTCGAATAGAAAGCAGGGTAAACCTATATATGAAATCATGTGTGAATCGATCCATTCTATCGGTTTCTATTGAGGATTGGGGTATACTCCACGTTCGTGCAAACCTATTTATATATAGAGTGACCCCGAAAAAAAATAGAAAAACAATTTACCATAGCTGAGCCGGTATTTAGGGTCATGATTTACCACAATCAACCCTAGTGTGAAAACATGTAAACATATGTTAAAAAATGATTTACCATATTCAGCAAATGTGTTTGTACCACTTAACTAGGATTTTACGATGCTTTTGGAGCGTTCAAAGAACACATTCACAACGACGCGGCGAGCTCCATCAGCATGAGGCGCTCTTTAAGGACCTCGAGCAACCCATGAAGTTCTCGTCCATGAAGGTGTCATTGACGTTGAATCTGCATTTTTTTGGGATTCAGATATTTTTTTTTTGTTTAAATAAAGTGTGTATTTGTAGAAGGCATTCATGTACATTAATCGATAAACATATTTTTGAAATGCAACTGGTCGTATAGATTCGAAACATCTATCGGACATGTCAGAAACAACACGCATTTAAAAACAGAACAATACTGTAACACCTTTATCGCGCCTTCAGTCAACGAAACAGGTCTGCAACACAGTTCTTGTATTACCTGCTAGGAATGTGGGTAGAACAACCATCAATGTCGTTTATTTGAAAGGATGTATCGAATATGGGATGGCTCACAACGTCACGGTAGCAAGTATGACAACAACCATCCCTAATTCATACCCAGTTCTCAGAACTCACCACATAAGTCTGCGATTAGTGATCAGTTCAGTTGTTTTGCTATGTTTTGCATTGTTTTGCATTGTTTTGCTGAATCCCCATCTTATTCCCTATTGAATTTCTACGAAAGTCTCATGGTTTGTGGCCTGGGTTCCCAGTATCCAGGGCCCGCCGACCGGTGCAGGTGATTCGGATCAAGGGCGAGAAACCCATCTTGAAGTGCTTGGGCGATGTGTATCTCAGCGCAGCACCTCATGGAAAGGGAAAAGGTGTTCCATTCCCCATAGGATCCATGTATGCTATATATGGTAACATTTACCATCAATATACTGGTACCCCAAATGTTAGCATATATACCATACATGGATCCTTTGGGTTCTGGCTACATCTGGCTGTTGTTGGTCCCACGAATCGTAGCGAATCGTTCAGCCCCGGTTTTTTCGTAAGCCTATCCCCTGAAAGAACCAGGGCTGTAACCCACCATCCAACTGGGATAAACAACACCAACGGATGAATCTTGACAGCCACGGCGAAAAAAATCCATGGAGTTTGCCGTTGAAGTGGCCTGGAAATGGTATTCTGAATAGTGGTATACGGTATACAGTGCTTTGCCAGCACTTTATCATACTTTACCAACAAAGATCCAGAGATGACACGACCATGTCATGATATCCATGGGACTCATGGGACCTCATTTGGCGGGGGTCCCATGGGATCACGAAAATGTGCTGGTCATGTTCCAAAACCCCAAACGTGCGGAAAGCGTACGTTTTTGAACAAAGGTTGCGTCCCGTTTGGATGATTGAATACTAGCAGTTACTAGCAGTACGGAGTAATTCTACGTCGTTCCTGACTTTCTGCAGTTGTAGCCTTGGAGAATCACTTCAGGAATTGGCAAGTATACATGCATGACTTACAACCATGATCTATTGGGATACTATAGGGTACTCCAACCCAAGAAATCTTGAAGTGTTGCACCCATGTTCTGAAAGCGGGTTGCTACCATTCTGAGTGGTGGCGTCACTCTTGTTATTTTTGATGTAAATAGATCATAAATGATCACAAGTTCTATGACTTAAGTCCCAATTTCATCCGATTCCTGTTTGGTAAATCAGAAACAACCAAGCATTTTCAACCATTTTTACATATGTTTACGTGGTATATCAGCAGTTTGCGCCAAGCCAAGCCGGGAGGCAAGATATTCAGAAGGGCCTGGCGGTGTTGCGGATTCAGCCCCTTGCCAGTTCTGGATTCAATACTAAAATATATGACGATTTGGATGATTTTGGGGGATAACCATTTTAGTAATTTTTACTAAACCTTCATTTCCAACCATTTCCAACCATGTCCAACCATTTCCATCTATCCACTATTGGTGTTTCCAACCAGTGATGTTGGTTTAACGGAACCCATCCAACTGTGGGGGAACTGGCTACCAGTTGGTGAGAGAATACTTTGAGATAGTTTGCCATAAACGGATACATAGTATATTCTAACCAGCTTTGTATAGCTAGTTCAACACGGTATGGGCACGGGTTTAAAAATGAAATCAATGGGGGGACGACCCGTCTGAAATTTCAATTTTGGATTTCATTTTTCTTGCCGCGCCCTCTATCAAGTGGAAAAGGGTCCGATGGTCTGACATGGTCTGACCTTGCCTGCAGAGTTCGGTGCCTCAGTGTGGACACATTGGTATCACAAAAGTATGCATATTTTTTTGCAAACCTCATTTTGTGTTCTGCTAGAGACATTATTATGTTTTGCTAGAGACACCTCAAGATCAACGGGGGGGAACGACGGCCACTAAGATTTCAGGAGATCATTTTGGAAGCAAGGCTATGCAATACGCACGCTGTAAATAGAACAGTGAAAGCAATTGCCATTGACCGTTTGACCAACATGGGGGTGCCTGAAAATAAGGTTTACCATGGTTTACCATATGGTTTACCATGGTTTACCATATGGTTTACCATGGTTTACCTTGTGGTTTACCATGGTTTACCATGGTTTACCATGGTTCAATGACAGTTCAAAGTCGTCCTTCCAAGAAGTACGTTTTTTTTCTTGGCCAGACCAGTGTAGTGGCCCACACAGACAGATGTGCTCAAAGCATTTTGACAAAAACATGTTGCATCAGTTCCAGAATCTTCGACCTAAGGTTGGATCCGAGCAGATGTGGAGAGTCGGGGATGCGAATGCGTTGAGTTTTGCAGCTTTTCGTCACATCATTTCCAGGTTTTCGCTATCGCTGAGCATCCCTGAGGTCTCAGTATCCTTGGTTTGTTCGACCAGCAGCCGCTAGGACGGCGTAAAGAAAAGTCTTTTGCTCTATCCTTCAGTGGAATATGATATGTGAGATTGTCTATGTGTGAGTATATTTGGAATATGGATGAATATGGTTCTCATGCTGGCTTTCAAGACGCTGATATCTGTATTTTTGAAACATCTTCTCCATTTGAGTACTTTCAACGTACTGTTTAGCGAGGATCATCGCTTTCAAAGACGTGTTGAAGCAAGGAGTCTGGTTCAACACCGGAGCTGCTGTGCGGTGTGGGGAGCCCCATTGTCGTGGCCAGTGTATCATTCTACGGTTCCTTTAATTATATAATACAATATAACTATAATTATAAAATATATATCCTGGATCTTCCAAATCCATGGAATATCTCGTGGACTTCGTAGTTCACTGTTCTTCTCATATAGTCGTTGGGAAATGGACCAAAACTACTGATTTCACTTAATCTCCTAGAAATGGGCCAAAATCGCTGAGAAATGCATATATATATATATTCAGAATACTCATGATAACATGCAGATTAATCCCAGTATATCACAATTTGATGGCCTACATAATCATAAAGGGGCAGGTGTGTGCCAGCTGGTGCGCAGCAAACTCGATCTTGCTGAATTCCTGAGCTCAAGTTCCACGGCTTGGCTGCACCCCTGAAAATGAATCTTGGATTAATACATGAGCTCGTGGGGATGTCTATTTGGGCATGGTAGTCAAACGATGTTTTTGATGCCATGCAGTTTCATTGGGCTGTGGGGTTCCCTCCTATTCATTTGATCCCGAATCTCCAACCGTGCTTTTGAGGAAAGCCATGATGCCTTTGCGCTGTGCTGTTTGCGCTTGGGTGGTTGCCCAGCTGCAACTAGATCACACCCCCAAACCATAATTTGAATTGAAAACTGTTGGCATGGAACATCCAAACATATTATATTTATGCATGAACCTCCACCAGATATATGTAAGTTGAACCCACTAATATGGGTATATGTCTCAAAATGGTGCCCTTTTTGGGTCCCCAAATGTCCCTTTATAAGCAAAAAAAGGCACCATTTTGAGACATATACCCATAAATGTTTGCAATGGAGATATGGACATGACCGCTGCCTTGAAGCGTCTCAGGTTTCTATGACATGGACCTCATGAACAAGCGATGCAACTACTTCAGTGGAAATGGATGGTGCCTCCTTTCCCCAGCCATGCGTGGCTGCAGGATTGTCTTCACCTTGTAAGCCCAGAAATAAGCCCTATGCATATTCACCTACATAGGATGACATGCCATAAAGGTCAACTATATTTATATGGAGCCCGGGGTTTGAAATTTGAACTATCAATTGCACATGTGGTTGGATGTACACGCATTATAGAAGTCTGGCTCAGCGTGAAAGATTGCAGTCGTCGCAATGACGACTGACTTAGCTAGGGCATGGGAACAGGAAGAGTCCATCAGATTAAAGGGAAGGAAAATGGAAGCTGTCCCTTGGCTACATAGGGTGTTATCCACGTCCAATCCACGTCCATGATTGCATTCAACCCTTCCAGCCGAGCATCGGCCGCGCAGCATCCATCCAGGTTTCCGTGAATGGCAAATTCATCAGCCGTGACTCCTTGGTGCAGAACGAGAAGATCTTGAGTCTTGCAATTCAGCACGTGGGTTCACGGGTTTCGGTGCCAGTGGTTTACCAACACCTTGACAGTTTCTACAACTTCATTTCTGTGCCTATGGACAGTGGCATGGCCGTATTGTGTCAAAGAATTTGTATTTGATATTTTACTATAGTTTCATCATATAGCTTGTCCATGCTCATCTATACAGCATCTAAGGTGGGGTCATCCACATGCAGGCATGGTTCTTGCGAAAGTGTATGACGTTGTACAACGATGTGGTCCGTAGAACTCATCTACCCAGAGAACCTGCTATCCGACGTCTCCTAGCATCTACTGGGGTTGACTTATGTTTGTATGGTCCCTCTGAGATGTCGGAAGAGGAGCGAGTTGATGATCAGTGTGAAGAAGCTTGGGAATCCGAAGATGAATGTGAGGATGACCCATGTTTCCCAACTGCATAGTTTGATGATATGCACTTTTCTTCAGCAATAGGGACTATGGGGTATTGAATGAATCAATGGATGACGTAGCCAAGGTTTGGAAGATGCTGACCATGTTCCTTCTTCCAGAACAGCGGATCATGTTCAGCCAGAAACCGCAGAGGTGCCATGATTTAATTTTACTATATGCGGGCTTGAGACTTCTCCAATAACTACAATTTTTTGGCCCGGGTTGAAAGGGGTTGCCATTCTTCCAAAACCCCTCCTGACTAAGGCCAAAGATCTTGGAGAGCAGCCAGGATGCTCTTCAAGAGTTGCCTCACCTGCAGCGTCTGATTTGGTGACACCACCCCCGAAAGGTGCACAACCATTGGGCTGTTGAATGCTGTGGTGTTGAGGCTGTGTATCTATGTAATCCACATGTATCACATGTAACTGATGTCATCACCGGTTCATCCGACAACACCCAACATCAACCAATATTATCCCATTTCATCCAACATCATTATGTGACTCCATATGCTTGGTGGTTTTCCAGTTTCTGGCCACTTTTGGGAGGCCCAGCAGTTTGAATGAGACCCCTCCAAAAGTTGAGAATCAGAAGATGGCCAAGTTGCAGCTCTTATGTGAACTTCAAAGCCAACTAAAGAACTTGGCGTTGTTGAAAGAGTTCCAACTTGATGCTCACCGAAAACGCGTGGCTGTGTTTAGCCCAAAGCATGGTTACTTGGAGAAACTCGTGATATCTGTATGCGCACTGTGTTGTTGCAGGATGTGTTTAGTTTATGTGTCGTGCCTGTGCATACATCAGTGTGTGTGTGTGGGTACATAGCTAAGGCTATGGCGCTGACAACGTGGAAACCCAGCCTTGGGGATCCCAAACCCAAGGCAATGAGCACAGCAGCCCAACCAGCCCAAGCAGCCCCGTTGCAACTTGTGAGATCTTAGCAAAGATTGAAGAGGTAGAATCAACCCTGCTCGTTGAGGACCCAAAACCGACAAAGGAAGGAGACCAAAACACACTAGATGCAACTGTGGTCACTAGCATGGAGAAGGTGCAGGATCAGAAGACAAAGGCCAACCCAACAACAGATGAAGAGGATCCAGGATGCGAAGCCAAGAACGTAAGCAATGAACCACAGAGCAGCAAAGACACAAGCAAGGATCCCCAGCCGACAGTCAAGAGGTTGATTGTACCCCCTGGCCACGACGTGCCTATCAAGCAGCACATGACTGACATCTTTGCCAAAGCCCGGCCAACAGCACTTCCACCACATGGGCGAGCCTCAACCACCTTAGATGTAAAAGCCAGCATATGGATGAGCCAGCAGGAATTGCAGAAGACAAAGAAGACATGTCAGGTAGAGCCCACGAACAATGCAGTCAATGCAGAGCCAAAGGATATCCCGGTCAAGCCCTCATCCTGGGGAACTACGCCTTGCATCAGCCCAGACATGCAGTGCCCCCCCAAGAAGAGAGGTCGCAAACCAAAAGGTGACAAGGTTGACGATGAGAACAACAACAACAAGGATAGCAAAGGTACTACGGCCAAAGCAAAAATGCAGAGCAGCAAAGCAAACAAGTCAACGAAATCAAAGACAGCAGCAGAAGCTTCCAGCAGCAGCGCAAAGACACCATCTGCAAGGATGCATGAGTACCTTAAGGAGCAAAAGGGAAAGCGACTGAAGGCTGAGGAGGAAAACCACAAAGAGGAGGACAACAATGAAGGTGAGGAGGAAGAGAAAAAAATGGAAGCAACGCATGGCCCCGATGATGCCGACCACTGCAAAGAACCCAGCAAAGGTCACAAGCGCAAGAAGGGAACCAAAAAGAGCCAGGTAGATGATGTTGACAAGGGCAGCAAGAACAAGAAATCTAGCAAGAAAGCGCAGCAGAAGAAAGATTGCAGTCCGAAGAAGGCAAAGAAGCAGCCAGCCAAGAACCGTCGCAAGGTTGCTGCTGCCAAGGAGCAAGACTTACCAGTTGCAGCCCTGGGCAAGGCAGAACAGAAGGCAGAGAGGAAGAAGAGATACAGCAGGAAGTCAGCAGCCTACCACAGAGTATACAAGAGCACAGCAGGAACAGTCGAAGAAAAAAAGGCTGCAGCCAAGAAGGCACATTGTTTGCAATTATATATGTTTTGCCATTCTGTGCAATGTCATGCAAGTATGTTTGACCCATATATCAGTTTACCTCCCCACTTGCGACCTACATCGCCGGGGCATATCTAAGGCGTACGCTGAGACAGACTGACTTTTTGATCTCAAAGATCGCCGTTTCTTGGGTACCAGAAATGCTGGGCTGAAACAGCTTCCCACACCATAGCACCCATAGCTTGTCCAAAGTTAGGGGAGTGCCTTAAAAACTGAGCACATGGGGCTTGACAAGCCAATCTTTCATGCTAGTGTGCGGCGTCCGTTTCATACAACCTAGCCTTGGCAGTGGACACGTTGACATCGGTCAAAAATGTGTTGTCCAAGTTTGAGCTGCAAACAACCAAATGCGCATGTAAATGTTTATGGTATGATCAGTACATAGCATTATAAATGTCGTATGTATATGATGTACATGTACTGCACTTTGATCGGATGCAATCCTCAACATCCCTCGGCATTCCCCCGATATAGTTTTGTTGATTCCTGATGATCATCCCTCGCGCAGGTGATATCTACGATACCCTATGCCAAGTTACTTTCACTCTGAGCGGTTTGCTACCAGAGCTGCTTCATCCAGTGAGACTGGCATGTTTCTTAGGGGTAGGGGTTGGAAGCCGCTTGCACTGAAAGCCGGTCAGTTCTAAGTTGGTCCAAGTTGCCACAAAATATATAGCATGTGGATTCACCCGCAGAGTGCGATTCAAGCTCCTTGCCGTGTGAAGCCACAGCCATGGTGGTGAAACGACGGGATAGCGTAGTGTTCAACTTGGCTTCCATGGGGGCACCTAAAGCACGTGCCTTATTAATTGCCAATTGTCAGGGATTGTCCAATGAGTTTATGTGTGACCATCACATGCGCCAGAAGACAAACCGGTCGATCATATAAGGTCCTACTTGGAATTGTGCTCCTGCTTGGCTGGACTTCCAACGTGGATCTGAATCCTAAGTATACCATGGTGGAGTACTTTGCAGGGAAAGCACATGTGTCCAATGTGTTCAACAATAGCCCTGGACACCGTGTTGCTTCTTATGAGATAAACGATTCTCGAAGCATGGACTTTCTCAGTGCACCCGGCTTCGTGTTCCTAATCTCAATCATGCAGGTCACACATGTCTATGACATGCATCAGGGCTACTGGGTTTGAATATCCCACACCATACCTTCCTCTACCCCATTTGCCGTCCTGAGGCTGGCAATTGTTCTTGCCCTTCAAAGTTGTGCAGGAGCTCTGCATTTGATGGCTCCTGTCTGCGGGTCTTGGACACGAATCAGTAGAGGTTCATCATTGCGGAGTTCCATCAATTGCTTTGGAGATATGACCAGGGAGTTTGTAGCAACGGCCAATTGTATGATATCCAGGCCCATCCATTTAATTTCATTTCCATATCAGTTTGGAATATGGACATATGCATATATAGGTTTATATTTGATATCATAACTGGATGTTCCTGCAGGTTGGCCATTCTGATGTTAGTCAGCCTGGCGGTCCATGCAGTGTTCCTATGCGAGCAGCCAGTTGGATCTAGCGACGTTTTCCCCAACCACCCACGGCTTGCATGGATCTTCAATAGGGTTGCCCTAGCTCCTCATCAAAAATTATTGGCATGCAGCTGGCGACAAACATAAAAAGATCCGTACATACATAGATCGATTGCAATGTCATTTGTTGGCTGTGAGGTCTTCCGCAACAACTTCTGGATGCTTCACCATGGATCCAAGAGCCCCAAGCGAACTACTGTTTGGAGTGTCCGGAGGTTTTTGGTTTCTGGGCTGGCCCATATCTCAGCTCAAAATGCACCCGGAATCATGAATGTTCATATGAATTGTATGTATACCATACCCCAACTGGAACAACCCAGGACAAAGGGAAGATGAAGAAAACTACCAAAGAGAAAAAGGCCACCATCAAGACCACGCGTTCTGTTCCCAGCTAGTTGCATACTTCTATGAGGGCTAGATTCTAGATCAACCCAACATCAACCCCACATGTGTTCCTGGTGACTTCTGAGGGAAATACAAGAAGCGGGATGGTTCTTATGGCTTTTGTGGCTCAAAAGAGTTGAAGGGTACTCAGTGAGATACTCAGTATATACTTGTTTTCAACTCTCACGAATGTCAATTGCATTACAATTGGAATGTGTTTTAGCTTTAAGGTGATCATGAACCAGTTAAAAGATCGTCAACTCTTCCGTACTAAGGGAATACCCCAAAGGCCTGGGACGATGCTTGGTTGGACTTATGAAAAAGAACAACACGTACAAGAACCCACAGCCGACCTTGAGACAGAAATATGATTTGACCAAGTACGACTCAGAGTTGAAATTGTTCCAAAGTTTGCCAATGAAAGACACATGGCCAGACGCAAAACTTCGTGAATGTTACATGTACTTGTGGTACAACAAAAACCTTTGTGTGCCACCTGCCTGGAAAAGCACTATGGGGGATTTCACTACAGCTCTTCAATCAGCAACCTGGATGCACAGAGGGGACCTGTTTGACTTGTACTCCATAGGGGTGGTTTGATCTTGATCAAGATGATCTAAGGTGAGCGACCCAGACCCATTTTCTATGGAATCCTTGGGAGGAGACAGCGGTGAATCGTAATTTTTGCATCGTGTCACCCAAAATTGCCTTGAAAATCACCACAGCATATGCAGAAACCATTTGGGACCAAAAAAAACGTCAAGGTTTACCCGCAAAAATCCCGCAAAAAAGCGCAAAAATCCGTCAAAAACCCGCAAAATCCCGCAAATCCAGAAAAGACGTAGTTTGCCTTTTTCAGAAACCTGCATATGCTGTGTGTAGCCTGGCGAAATTCATGCCGAAGATCGTCCATTTAGCCATATGACAAAAAAAACGATCTGATATGATCTGATTGATGTACAAAATGTAGCCTAAGAGCATGATAGAGCATGCACATGACATTGCACATCATTAATCACTTCAAATCGCCGGCAGTGGCTCATCCGAAGACTTGGAAGATTGGTAGTTTGACCTAACCATGGCTGCCTCTAGTGAAAGGGTGTCCACGGCTACTCTAAATGAAGGCCTCCGTTTTGCGGGTCTCTCCTCTAATGCTTCTGAAGAAGCGATCGAAGCTCGCATCAGAGTTCCTTGGTTGCACACAGGAGTTGGATATGCCTACACGGCTCCAATTTGTTGAGGCCTGAAGATGCATATGAATAGTTTATGATAGGTTGAATAATATATTTCACAGTTGTGGTCAGCCCTTTCATCAATGGCTTTCCTGTAAGGATGCTATGGCGGCTTGTGCAAATCTGACACGACAACTTGGACTTGAGAGCGGTGGATCCCCTGGGAGTGGAGCTCGTGATTTGACTATATGTAAGATATACCGTCGATATGTTTAGATATATTATATGATCCATGGTTTTGTTATATTTGCCCACATGATGCTGAATCAAGTGATCTCATATATGCACATATCTTAGGTGACCTCTTTGCGATGCCAAAGGCGGCAGGGCTCTTTGTTCCAGGTTGTCCTGAACGTGTGCCTTTGGCCTCACCCTGTGCTCCCACCCCTGATGCCGAAACAATGCGAAAGAACTACCAAGGAAAGCGACACCACTCAGTGCCATCATCATATGTTCCGTCACCATCCCCTGCAGAAGCCTATGATGTCAATGATGGTTGGGGGCAGGGTCTTGAAAGTGCCAGTTGCCCTCCGACACGCCTAGAGCTTGAATCATCAGCAACCTCCCCAAAGGGCCCAGCACCCTCGGTTCCCGATGTTTCAGCACCGAAGCAACCAGCACCGGTCCAGCAGCCCCAGCAGAAGCCAGCGAGCAAACCTGTTAGCATCTATGATGATGGGATGTACTGGAAGTTGCTTGGTTTTGTCTGCTGTCTGTGTATGTATGTGATGCTTGAATGCTTATTGCCAGCATACACATGAGTAGGGCAGATTTCACAAGTGACCTGATAAGGTTGAAAAGGTACTGCAACCCTTCAAGTGGAAAGGGTAGCGCCAGCGCGGCAGTGCTGGACATGTTCAAAGACAAACACAAGCGCATCATATCCGCATTAAGAATAGCAAAACTAGACATACGGCACATACACCATTGCAACATAAGCCACTTGTTATGGGTTCCAAAGGATATATCACCAGTCCTTCTTGCTAAGCCGTGGCTGAGGAGACCAATTGGCAGAGATCTTCAAGAAGGAGGGCCATTCATTTTCTGCCATGGAAGTGAAGGTCAAGCAACTTGTGATGGATGAAGAGAAGAACGAAGTGTTGGGTGGATGGCATACCGATATCTCACTGAAGAAATTGGGGTGGACAGAGCCCCGAACCTAGCTGCCATTCGTTATATATCAGTGAAAGTCATAATATCCAAACCTAGCCATACTACTGTTGTCAAACCCATAATATCCAAATGGTGGATTCTTACCATGGGCTTAGGTCAATGATTGGCCACGCCAAACAGTGGGCTATGGCTCGCAACTTGTGTCGGAAGAACGAAGTCCACGGTGAAGATGAATTTAAGATCCCAACGGATAGCAATTATTCTTTCACCAACACCCGGAGAAAGGAGGCTGAGGGGAGTGGAACAATGGAGGTTGAAGATCCCAATGGAACTTTGCTTGAGTTTGGCGATCTTAGTGCAGAGCAGGCTATGCTGCCACTAGGCTATCTTTGACAACAGTTGGCACATATGTTTGTTAGGCACTTATGCCCCAGGTTCCCCAACATCCCTTCACCACCGGCTCACCAAGGCGAGGATCCAATGGTGAAGCCACCAATTCGGTGGCAGCTCAGAGTGCTGCCGCGGCGAAGCTGGCAAGCCTCCCCATGGTGCACCAAAACCAAGACCCCTACTGTTTCTTGCCTCTAAATGACAAATATGAGCCCTAATCTGTCATGGATTGTCTCGATGATATATATGATATCTTAAAAATCTTTCATGAGGCTACATTTCCCAGTACATCGATGAGATGGGCAAGAAGATGGACAAAATCGATGAACAGAAGGACATGATATCACAATATATAAGATGTAACAATATTATATTAGATGCTGTATTCCAGAGATATATATAGTTTCTGAACCTGAACATTGTCGCAGGAGAGGCTCCAGAGCCTACAAACTCCACGAAGTCAAGAGTGTCTCGGCATTGGGGCTTACATGGGCCTATATCGGATCTGTTGCCATGGCCATAGGTTTACTTACCCCATAGCACCTCAACCAATTTGCCGAGGATGTTGAAGCAACTTGCCAATGACCGCACGAACTACTTCGATGTTTTCGACAAGCTGGTGAAGTTTCAGGAAGCGAGCTGTGGTATTTTGGCACCAACGGCTCCCTGGCTGAAACTTGTATCCATGGGGTCGTCAGTCAACCTTGAAGTTTTTTGGGAGTTAATATTATATATGCCACCTTGTTGCCTCAACATCCACATAGGGTTCAACTACCCGCTACTCCTGCAGGAAGCCCAGAAATCTGAGCTACGTGACATCTATGTCGAGTGCACCAAGATGGATGTGCGAGTTAACAACATGATGAGCCGTGCCAGGCCCAATCAAGAAATTAAGTATTCCATCCAATCATGTATCACACAAAAAAACGGTTTAATGCCTATCATTCAATAACCAGTGACCGCAGGGCCTTGAAGAGCAGCAAGCCAAAGGCCAAAGCGAAGAGCAGTGCATCGAAGCCGTTGACGCCTGCACCTAAGAGGAAGGTATCCAGCAAGCGCCCAGCACCGGTGGAACCGGTGGCACCGGATGGGGAAGAGCCCAGTGTTTCAACTTCTCGACCCAGTAAGAAGGCCAAGAAGGCCAAGGCCACGGCTAAGAAGTGATCATATCTTATTGCAGACCTATAGTTACCCCAAATTGAATCCTCATATATGATTGTGTGATGTCAGAATTTGTTTCGGTATGGGATTGATCAACAAGTAGCCTTCGAGGGTTTGGATGGGTGTTCTTAAACGCCATGTCCTGCACCAACTGAGTGCTTTTGGGAGTTCAGCGCCGCTTGACAAATCTCGGGGAAAAGAAAGGGATTCTTTACGTCACCCCTTCTGCCATCAAATGCCATCGACCTTATAAATATCATTATGATATCCTTTGATCAAAGGATATCATAATGAGGTTGCAGTTTGGGGGTGGGTACGACTTTCCCTGGGCCAGGTCAACACATAAGAGCCTATGTCACTGCTGCTATGCAAGGACCAGCCGGGCTTATAGTGACATGTATTGATACTGCATATTGTTCATGTGCATCCCTACTTGCAACTAATTTATATCTTAATTTCTAAAAATCATGGATTGGCCCTACTAGGAGACCCAACCGAACAAGATCAACTGCGAGAAGATGATGCACATGCAATGGAACTTCTGGAGGACTACTTCGCTGGGGTGCCTTGCAAACAATTGAGACATGCATGTGGATACTAGTCACCGAAACATCATATGTTCCGATTGTTCACATCATTTGGAATGATTTGGATTTGGACCTGTACTCATGATCCAAGGCCGAAACAGCAAAAAGAACATCACGGATTGCTGAGATTGCAATGTTGTCCAGGGGATCTCAACGATATTTGGCAGCACTTACTTACTTTGACCAGTTGAGACATGGTAGTACCCCAACAAGTCATTCTTTCGCTCAGTCCCCCAGCTAGCCAACATCCCAATGCTGATCCTATGCATGTTTTTGCCCAGGAGCTGGCCATCTTCTTTGTCGTATTGCGTCTACGAGGAAGGGCAAGTCCAACGTTGACAGGAACCTTCGCAGATGCATTCATAAAGCTGGTGTCACACTTGACTTGGATGTGGAACTGGTGAAAACCACCATTAAGGTGAAGAAACCAAAACTTGGAATCAAATCGGTTTACTGGCCATGCTTTTCCCTACGGTCTTGGGTGTCAACGTTGGCTACATCTTTTTCTCCAATTATGTTTGGTGGCTTCGATGTGGAAGAAGAACACAACTGGAGAAGATTGTTTTCTTGGTTTTGGGCAACGTACAAAGGGTTTGACGGGGGCCATCCCATATATGAGATGCCAGACCTCGATCTTTCACTATGCATTCCAATCATGACCCATGGTGACGAAGGAAGAGGATTGTGTTCCCAAGCATTCATGGTGCAATCATTTCAATTTGTAATTTCACACCTTGGGCCCTTCACTACGAACACTTCCGGGTGTCTGGACGACGAGATTTATGGTTTTACTTTGATTGCCTGGTTTTAGCTTCAAGTAAGGTTCCTACCACCCTTCAAGAAACATGATGCTACGGTATCCTTTCACATTCTTAAGGGGAGTTTAAGTCATTTTTCATAATGGTCGATCACTAAAACGAAGGCACAGCTTTACATCCCGAATGCTGTTCACTTGCATCTCCTCCAAACTGTACGATGGTGAGAAGACATTGCGTGACATTAACACTGAATGGGCCAAACAATTGCATTCACTTTTTCACGAAGGTGTTCAGGCTGGGGTTCCAAAATATATGATATGCACCCATGGTTCCCATAAGTCCAAAACACTGGTTGCGCACCTTTCTCACACGCCCCTGAGGTGGGTGGCAAGACGATCAGGTTGGTCTGGATCGCCGGCAAAGGCGACTGGCCTTACCTGAGAAAGGTCACTTGGTTCGGTTGTGCAAGTGGAAAGGTTTTTGGACATAATATCTATTAAGTACATACCTGGGTTTGCTTCTGTTTTCATTTATGGCAAATTGAGGCTTTCAATTTGGAAACCGGCTTTACCTCAAAGAGGGTGTGCCACCTTTGCACTGGTGAGGACCAGGGCCAATACCAAATCCCAAATGTTTTCAAAGTTTGTTTGATCCATACCCCATAGCGAACCACTTATATAACATAAACAATTGTATATATATATATACTATAACTGCATATGATTGGGGAAATCATATTTATTTATGCCCTCCTCATACCTACAGAATCCCCAGAGGAATGGTACCGATTTGACAGCGATGCTGCTTGGAGGGGTCCTGGTGGGAGACCGGGACCATCACCTTTCAAATCTGATGGCAATGTCTTTTCAATCGTTCCTGGATGCACTCCTGAAAGAATCAAACCAGATCTGGTTCACAGCTTTCACATTGGTTTTGGGGCTGACCTCGCCGCATCGATCATTGTTTGGCTAGCTCGACTCGATAAGTTTGGACGCCTTGCTTTTGATGAACGACTACGTGTGGCATACAGCATGTTTCAGGAGTATTGCCATGAACAAAAACGATACAACTCGTGTGATGAATGGTGTCTAAAAAAAATGGGAATGACATCGAATCTTTGGTGACAAATATGTATTTTTCTGTTTTTCCCCATGTTTTTTGTTTGTATAGCCCATGTGGCTCATATGCTTTTCACCTTCCTAACAGCCTTCCACTTTGTTTGCTTAGGAGCTCTGACTTCCCGACCAGCTTGGGTGGCAAGGGCCATGACACGGCCGTGGTTTGCAGGTGGTTGGAGAAGTTATTGATGGATATGGCTACTGGGTATGACAACTAATAGTTTCTTAATGTTCCCCAAATTATGGATATACATCATTTGTTCAGTGACCTAGCCAAATACCGGCTTAGGAGTGTGAGACACCAGAGATGGAAACAATGAGATACACCATCCAATGTGTGAACATGTTCTTCGACATCCTGTACTCCAATGGAATTTTTCTTCCTGCGAATGATGCTCTACAAGCTCAAGAATATGCAATGCGTGTTTGTGTTCCTGTGCTGGTTTAGTTTTGTTTTAAACTTTTGAAATTTAATGATTTGGGATTTGCTACTTCATGGCTCCTTAAAGGGAAACAAATTTGACACGTAAGGAGGGCTACAGCCAATTAGCCTCAATGGCACATGGCACTGGTCAAAAACTTTTTAAGTTGAGACCAAAGTTGCATATGCTTTACGAAATTGCCCTGCAGCTGCATCCTCATGGACCATATGTACTTTCCCCAGTAGCGACATGCTGCTGGACTGACGAGGATTATATAGGAAGAGTGTCTAAAGTTGTTCGCTCTTGCCATGGTGCTAGTCAATCCATAGGGGCTATGCGGAAAACTTTAGGGATGTACAGGTTGCAATTCACCCGCAATGCAGCCAAAAAGCATTCAGCTTCAGCGAGATGATGAAAAGGAGCTCCACCAGGAACTTCATGATAGTGTGAGCCACAGTTGGGATCAGTTGGGTGTGTTGTGGCCGTTGGGAAATGGAGGGAAACGTTGAAATCGACTGAATCTCCTAGAAAACGTGATTCACTTAGAAATTCTCGGAGGTGGGTTCTCCAGGATGTATATATATATATATATATATACATTATTGATTAAAATCAAGCAATGTACATATATATGTATACTACGATTTTTACTAATATATTATATAAACAATTCGCCATATGTTGATGCGACTTGGTGCACCTTTCCAAGGTGCCACCAGACAAAGAGCTGGCTTCCAAGTCGGAGGGAAGAACCATCCGGGCCTCACTAGGTACATCTAGGATACCTAGGGCACTAGATATACCCTGGGTAATGGATGGTAATGGCACTAGACCCACAACTGATTGATATTTATAACTTTTTGTTTTTGGCCGAATCCACAATAGATCGTTTTTCTTTTTTGACGCACATCCAAGATTCAAAGGGGTATACCGTATACCTACCTATCCAGAGATGATCATAATCTAGGGAAATCCTACAGTACTAAGTACCCAGTATAGAGGGCTGAGGATGTTAAACACTGCCCAATTGATGTTGATGGTTATGGTTCTTTAAAAGCAGGTGTTTACAGGTGTTTGCATCTGAACATATCTCACAGCTGTACATGTAACAAAAACTGCGCACGGGGCATCATAGTATATATATATATATACATACACAGACCTACAAATCTCACAATTCACATCTGAGCTGCTCTAAAAAACCTCCCTTTACATTTTCAGCAAGGGCCTTGTGCTATCTATCTATCTATCTATCTTTTCTATCTTTTCTATCTATCTATCTATCTATCTATCTATCTATCTATCTCTCTCTCTCTCTCTTTCATCTGTCTATCTGTCTAATCTTTTTAGCTGTCTATCTATCTATCTATCTATCTTTCTATCTTTTCTATCTTTTCTATCTATCTATCTATCTATCTATCTATCTATCTATCTCTCCATCTATCTCTCCATCTATCGATCTATTGTTGTTGTAGTTGTAGTTGTAGTTGTTGTGGTTGTTGTTGTTGTTGTTGTTGTTGTTGTTGTTGTTGTTGCTGTTGCTGTTGTCGTCGAGGTTAGGGTAGTTAAGTTAGTGAAGTTAGTTAAGTTAGTCAAGTTAGTTAAGTTAATCAGTGTCTACTTTTTCGACCTCTTCACGTCAAAAAAGGCTCAAAACCCTCAGTTTTTTACACTTTTGACTTAGAAATGTGCTTCCCGCCACAACGGCGTGCACTTTTTCAACACTTTTTCGACATCTGAACCTCCAAAAGTGGTCCGAGACCGTCAGTTTTTAACACTTTTGACTTCAAAATGTGCTTGGCACCACAACGGCGTGCACTTTTTCAACATCGCAACTTCCAAAAGTGGTCCGAACCTGGTGTGTTTTGTACATTTTGACTTGGAAATCTGCTTCGCGCCACAACGGCGTGCACTTTTTCGACATCGCAACTTCCAAAAGTAGTCCGAACGTGGTGTGTTTTGTACATTTTGACTTGGAAATCTGCTTCGCGCAACAACGGCGTGCACTTTTTCGACATCGCAACTTCCAAAAGTGGTCCGGACCTGAGGTGTTTTGTACATTTTGACTTCGAAATGTGCTTCGCGCCACAACGGCGTGCACTTTTTCGACATCGCAACTTCCAAAAGTGGTCCGCTCCTCTAGTGTTTTGTCCATTTTGACTTGGAAATGTGCTTCGCGCCACAACGGCGTGCACTTTTTCATGTCTCATCTGGCCAGCTGGCTCCGCACCCGCCGCTTTAGCGAGCCTACTTTTCGACCCTCCGGAGCCACAAATCATTGGAAAAAACACAGTGTTTCGCGACTTTTCCTACCTTTTCACGCATCTTCATCTTCTTTCTTCTTACTCTTCTTTCTTCTACTCTTTCTCTTCTCTCTGCCTCTTCCCTGCTCTGCTTTTCATCTGTCCATATTGTCGGAAGTTTAGCTTCTAAACTTCCTTCGATAAATTATATACATATTTGATCCGTCTTCATCGTCGTGATGCTGCAGCAAGCCGTGTCTCGTGAGGCCTATGCTGCTGGTGTGCCTTCCTAAGTGAATAAAGCTGGTTCGCAAGTTGAACCGTGAAATGCCGATACATTGTCAACCAAGGAATCTGCTCTTCAGCATAGGGCCATACTGGAAGGCAAGAAATGTCATTGCTTCCGAAATCCGGTCCCCGAAATCCGGTCCCCGAAATCCGGTCCCCGAAATCCAGTCCCCGAACCGGTTTTTGAAGTACAGCTCTGGTTACCCCAATGCCAATCAGAGACTTTAAGAGGCGATGACTTAGTCAGAGAGTTGTAAAAGGCAATGACTTAGCAGGATGTACATGTACCTAGTGGAATTCGCCGTCTCATCATCTCTCATTGCCTTTTGCAGTTCGATGTGAAAGTTAGAAGAAGGCTTCCAGGCCCTGAACTTTCCGGTCCCTGAATGTTCTCTTCTTTCCATCCAGTGACCAGAATTCTATGTCGATAAAAAGGAAGGTAATGCCAAGTGAAGACAGAAAGTTAAAAAGTAGAGATATGTAGAGATGGACTGAACAAATTTCAAAATTTAATAAGGATTGGTTTGAATCGGTTTCTTGATTCCGAAATCCGGTCCCCAGTTCCTGAAATCCGGTCCCCGAAATCCGGTCCCCGAAATCCGGTCCCCGAAATCCGTCCCCGAAATCCGGTCCGGAACCGGTTTTTGAAGTACAGCTCTGGTTACCCCAAGGCCAATCAGAGACTTTAAGAGGCGATGACTTAGTCAGAGAGTTGTAAAAGGCAATGACTTAGCAGGATGTACATGTACCTAGTGGAATTCGCCGTCTCATCATCTCTCATTGCCTTTTGCAGTTCGATGTGAAAGTTAGAAGAAGGCTTCCAGGCCCTGAACTTTCCGGTCCCTGAATGTTCTCTTCTTTCCATCCAGTGACCAGCATATGTCGATAAAAAGGAAGGTAATGTCAAGTGAAGACAGAAAGTAAAAGTAGAGATATGTAGAGATGGACTGAACAAATTTCAACATTTAATACGGATTGGTTTGAATCGGTTCCCTGATTCCGAAATCCGGTCCCCAAAATCCGGTCCCCGAAATCCGGTCCCCGAAATCCGGTCCCCGAAATCCGGTCCCCGAAATCCAGTCCCCGAACCGGTTTTTGAAGTACAGCCCTGGTTAGCCCAAGGCCAATCAGAGACTTTAAGAGGCGATGACTTAGTCAGAGAGTTGTAAAAGGCAATGACTTAGCACGCTCTACATGTACCTGGTGGAATTCGCCGTCTCGTCATTTCTCATTGCCTTTTGCAGTTCGATGTGAAAGTTAGAAGAAGGCTTCCAGGCCCTGAACTTTCCGGTCCCTGAATGTTCTCTTCTTTCCATCCAGTGACCAGCATATGTCGATAAAAAGGAAGGTAATGTCAAGTGAAGACAGAAAGTAAAAGTAGAGATATGTAGAGATGGACTGAACAAATTTCAACATTTAATACGGATTGGTTTGAATCGGTTCCCAGATTCCGAAATCCGGTCCCCGAAATCCGGTCCCCGAAATCCAGTCCCCGAACCGGTTTTTGAAGTACAGCTCTGGTTACCCCAAGGCCAATCAGAGACTTTAAGAGGCGATGACTTAGTCAGAGAGTTGTAAAAGGCAATGGCTTAGCAGGATGTACATGCACCTAGTGATACCTAGTGGAATTCGCCGTCTCATCATCTTTCATTGCCTTTTGCAGTTCGATGTGAAAGTTAGAAGAAGGCTTCCAGGCCCTGAACTTTCCGGTCCCTGAATGTTCTCTTCTTTCCATCCAGTGACCAGAATTCTATGTCGATAAAAAGGAAGGTAATGCCAAGTGAAGACAGAAAGTAAAAGTAGAGATATGTAGAGATGGACTGAACAAATCTCAAAATTTAATAAGGATTGGTTTGAATCGGTTCCCGGATTCCGAAATCCGATTCCTCAATCCGGTCCCCGAAATCCGGTCCCCGAAATCCAGTCCCCGAACCGGTTTTTGAAGTCCGGCCCTGGTTACCCCAAGGCCAACCAAAGACTTTAAGAGGCGATGACTTAGTCACAGAGTTGTAAAAGGCAATGACTTAGCACGATCTACATGTACCTAGTGCAATATCACCAATCTTTTTTAAATCAGGGAACCCATTATCAATTACGTTTTTTTATGAGATTCTTTGATGCCATGTGAAGCCTTGAAAAGGGCTACCAACCAAACATGTTCAAATTCCACCTTGTGTATGCGGAAGCAATCGTCATGTTTTTAGCAGCCCTTGACGCGTCGATGAGTTCTGCTTGCCAGGTAGTTGTGGGAAATGCGCAAAGATTGCGCTCCAGATTTGTGAGGATGTGCTGAGGCGAGTTTGTGCCATGCGCATTGACAGGTCGTGACCTTTTTAAGTGTACGGGTAGAATGTCAGCTTTAAGAGCTTTATCGAAGGAAGTTTAGAAGAAAGAAGATGCAGATGCGCGAAAAGGTAGGAAAGTCGCGAAACACTGTGTTTTTCCAATGATTTGTGGCTCCGGTGGGTCGAAAAGTAGGCTCGCTAAAGCGGTGGGTGCGGAGCCAGCTGGCTAGATGAGAGATGAAAAATTGCACGCCGTTGTGGCGCGAAGCACATTTCCAAGTCAAAATGGACAAAACACTAGAGGAGCGGACCACTTTTGGAAGTTGCGAGGTCGAAAAAGTGCACGCCGTTGTGGCGCGAAGCACATTTCCAAGTCAAAATGTACAAAGCACACCATTCTCGGACCACTTTTGGAAGTTGAGATGTCGAAAAAGTGCACGCCGTTGTGGCGCGAAGCACATTTTGAAGTCAATATGTACAAAACACCTCAGTGTAATCTTTTGCAGCTGAAGATCGTAAATCGTATTGGAGTGGGTGCATCAAGGCTGCGACAGTGATTAGTAGTACTGGGAAGTGATTCATGAAAGCTTAGATGA